ACTGTGATTGATCGCGGTGGGTTCCTCCTGTCTCGCCACCTTGACGGTTGATTCTGCTGTCATCCGAAAAATATTGTGATCGTTTCTGCAGCAAACATCCTCATTCGGCTTTGGGAATCCTACCCCTGGTCGAGGCGCATTTCGAACCCTTAGATGCTATCACATGCAGGGCAGTCCTGCTTCGCACACAAAATTTACTTACCATGAACGACAGTTTTTCTCTCCTTAAAAACGAATAAAATCACATTCATTTTGTTTTTTTAAACAAATCGGAAGGTGGGGCGTTTGTAGCTCAAGTGGTTAGAGCGTTGACTTCCGGTAAAGGCCTTCTTTACTATGCGGGTTCAAATCCCGCCGAACGCCTCGAGTTTTTTCCCCATTGGGTCAATTCAAATCGGAAGGTTTTTTTTCCTTTTTCTCTAACCGTTTCCAGGCCACACTGCTTATTTTATAAACGCAATCGGAACACTGTACCGTGTTTGTTTAATCGTTCTAAAATTTATCCAAGAATATGGTGTTCTTCCCAACCATGGACCTTACTAAGGGGAAAGTACGCTAGTTGTGTGTAGCCCGCGTTTCCACTCTATCTAGTTTCTTATTTTAAGTGTATTGTTCCCCTCTGACGGTAAACTGGAAGGTCTTTGTTTACGGCTATCTTATGCAACGGTGTTTCCTGGAAGTTTTCGTTTGGAACTTCACATTTTTTATTAATAAATAATAAATAAACTTAACGATGCGCCCTCGACTCCATTTCCATTTCTTCAACACAATTCAACACACTACATGCACATTTATGACATACTATCGGGGGAACATATCGGATGGTCTTGTGCGGTCTATTCTTGCGTTTTTTTTAGAAAACCTTCTCAATACGACAGTTAGACCGTCGGCTTCGATGATGTTCACCGTCTGCTTCAGTAAGCTGAAGGCTAACGCGGTGACTTGCGCGTCGATTAGTTTTTTAGTGACAGTAAACTTTCGCAGCATCAACCACACGCTCTCTTCTTTCACCCACCTGTGCCCGGTTTCAAGACAAAGTCAATAAGACCGGAGGCGGGATCGGGCTCAGTGGCTAACGGGGTTGGCGAACCCGTCTGCGCGTCACAGCACCACAATATAATATTTACGGTACACACAGAGATTAAAAGGTCACTTTTGAAAATTCACTATAAACGGCTCAACGCCGTCTATAAGCTGAATGTCTCTGACACAGGAGTGCAATTTTTCACCATGTTTTTCCCTCTGATCGAGTGTCGAGTTGCCAAACTAGATTTTCTCAAAGCTCATAGGCTCTACAATCTGCGGGAGTGCTCTCTCTGATATGAATGTGCATTACTACCCGCGTTCCCCTACATGAGCTTCATTTTTCTCCACAGGTTTTCCACTCACGCAATTTCCGAAACAGCAGCCACAGTCGTTTATGGGCGAGCCCGTTGAGCAGTTGATCGTCCCAGGTCTTTCTGACTCGTCTTGTGGCTCCAACACACAAAAAGTTCCGTTTGAAAATGATTTCTCCATGTTTCGAACCTCTGCAACATCCGCTGCCTGTGCGCCTGACTTAAGCTTTCCACGATTCCTCCATCTCCCACCACCCCTCTCTCCTACTATGGCCAATCAGATGACTGCTCTCTGGCCGCCGTGGTTACCACTACTCGGTAGCGCAGGCGGAAGTGGCGGTCCCATGCTCTCAACGTCCACTTTCCTCAGCCCGCCGTCCCCTTCGCCATTGAAGCTATCTGATTTACCTTCCCTCCACCCACACCAGCAACAACAAGCTCTGGGGCTGACTAGTCTGAACAGCTTAACGGTACTAACTTCCACTTACATATGGATTTGCTTACTGTTCTCGCTTAATGAACGTTTCACGTGCTAGGACGCATTTGCCAAGGAGGTCTTTTTTGACACTTACCGAGAAGCGGTTTGTGGCCGATCTTCATGTCTCAAAGACATTTTTATGCTCCTCCGTTGTCTGACAGAGATGCATTTCTTTGCATTCTTTGTGGGCCAGCAACTCGAGATATTTAAGAAAAACAGAGCTGTCCTTACCGAAGTTTTCCTTATAAACCTACTTTTTCTCATCTTTTTTTATAGGAATTGGAGAAGTTGAGGGAATTCTTCTTACAACTTGTCAAGGACCAACGTCGGCTGGAGGATGAAAAAGAGGCTCAATTAAAAAAAAACCGACGGACGCAACTAGAAAAACTGAAGGAACAGGTACGAAACGACTGAGGAGGTTATGCTTATTCGCCTTTGAAACGTATTTGTAAGAAATTTAAGTTAGACGATATTGGCTAACCAGGCGGATTTTAATGACTTCAAGATTTTCATAGTTTCGCTCAAGGGTCGTTGTAAGCATATTAAACTGTGTAATAAAAAGTCTGGGAATGTCAAACGGGGTAGGTATATAAGCGATGGAGACTGTCATTCGGACTTATGGGTGAGCCATACGCGAAGGAAAGGGTTGGTAGGGTGAGTGAGTGTTGATTAGAGCGAAGACTCATCAAACGTGATTGGATTACACAACACATACACACACAGAACATTGCTCAGTCCTGTGGAGGGTATGGGGGAGGGCTAGAGCGGAAATATAATTGTTTTCCTCTTACCACGGCTGTTAAAGGTTAATCGTATAATCCAACGGTTCACACAGTTGAAAGTTGCCGATAAAGACAACAGATTGGAATGGCAATTTCTAACTTATTAGCCGTCATT